ATCTATTATCCATCTGACTCTTTTCGCATTTAGATATCTATCGAATAACCAACTGATGATGTTACCTCCTGGAATCTTTGACCACAACCAAAAACTCATTAGGCTGTAAGTTTGATCAATGATGTTTTACTATAGACTAATAAAGTACGGTTATCCAGTAATCACTGAACAATATTAACGTACAAGCCAGAGATCTAACTCTAAGATTACTATCTGAATCAACTGGACCAACTATTAGAAGCATGTACCATCCATGTAGCGTTCCAAACCATTTTTAACCATGTTTCTTGCCGGCAACAAAATATCTTCACGAAAGTAATTATGGGTCAACTATTTAATAATCAGTCCTAAAGAGGACTAATTTTTTTAGTCGAATCAAATATTATATAGATGTAAACGAGTTTTGAAATAAAGTAAAATTCATTATTTTGGTTTCCAAAGCCGGCACTTTTCCCTACCAGTATAACTTATAGCCTAGTACTAGCTCATCCAATCAGAGCGCAGCATTGAGGATAGACCACTATAGTTGGATTTGACTAATTTTGGTTAGCATTTTCCTATCAGAGACATAGTACAATTTAGATTTCTCTTGTCGATTGAAAATCATGAATTCCAGAATAAGTTGGACTAGTGTTTACGATCAATTTAAAAGAATGGAAAAATTCAGTCGTACTACGTGTAGTTTCACGAAAAGCAATATTGAATCCTAAATTTTGATTGGTTGACCTTGCGTTCGTTATGAAGGTAAACTCAGCTGACACAAAGACTTTGCATCATGACTTGATGGCAGCCATGACAGTAGCCACAACAATAGAGACTCATACTACCAGGGAAACTGAATTCTTTCTCATGTATATCAGTTTAGACCAGTTTCAATTGTTCCTGCCTACTGCGCATGGCATGGCTGCCATCACGTGATAGTGCAAAGCCTCTATTGTTGTTCTATTCTTTCCTTGCGTTCCACTTTACCATTTAGGTTGAATACGTCTTAACTTTGAAAAAAATGACCCCTACTTTCTGATTACGAGAAATTTTGGCTCAAATAATAGACAAACTCATAATTAACGTCGAGTGACTACTGTCTCGGGAAGGAGTATTTTTATGTAGGAAGGGCTGGGGCTTCAAAGGCGAGGGTCATTAGCAAACATGGGAACTTTAATTATGTATTTGGAAGATCCAACCTTTTTATTTTGAAGAAACCTGTTTACTTGTTGACTTATTCAATTTCTTACTGAGTGAAAGGGGGGCCAAGGGCTTCATCATGATATCATCCAAATCTGGAATCCATAGAACAAAAATAGCTAAAAACTATAAAAGATACAGCAAATAGACAATAAAATAATGAATAAAAACAGCAGTTAAACAAAGAATTACCTCGTGCGATAACAAGTTAGGTATTTTTGAAATGAGATAAGTCGGTTTCTCTCGTACATTCCTTCCCATGAAAATAATTGGACATTTTCAAAAGGCGTGGTCGGCATGTTGGTTGGCATGAGATAAAAGGCGACACCAAGACCATTTTCTTCGTTCAAAATCAACCAAATTGGCAGCAACGAAGTCAGATGCTGATCACCAGAATACACTGAGTAGACCAAGAGCTAAGACGATTTGTCTTGATTTGGGACTGTTATTAATTCCATATTATTATTGTTATATGACTCGAATCTATCTTCTTTTTCAGGTATTTAAATTCC